CAAAAAACAAAAAAAAGAAAAAAAATAGAAAGAAAAAAGAGGAATAAAAATAAGTCTCTTATTGTTTTAGCAAAAATAAAATTTAAAATTAAGAAGCAAATCAAAAATTTCTGAATATATTTCTCAATAAATTCAGTTATTTACATGGTAAATAAATCTGTGATTTTTTGATAAAGAATATCAGCTATAAAAAATTTGATGATTAAAATTAAAATATTTTCTTTCCTCATTTTTCTTTCATTCTCTCCCCCTCCCTCTTCTCTCTCTTTTTCTCTCTCCCCTTCTCTCTCTCTCTTTCTTGGTCATGACATATATTTTGAGCATTGAAAGAAGCCTTAAATCGTACTACTTCGGTGACTATGCCTATTCTATATAGGCTATTTCTTTTCTTTTCATCAACTAAATTATTCTTTATTTCTCTCAATTGAAATGATTATTTCATTGCATTATTGCTTTTTTTTATCAATTAATTATGTTACAAATTGGGTATTTAAATTATTCATTTCTGATATTAATAATGAATAGAATTTATTTGATATAGCTTTGCTTTTTCCTATTTCTCAATGCATTTCTACACTGCCGTTATCATTGGTTATTTTGTATTATCATTTCTTTCTGTTTTTTTTTCCCCCCTTATTATCCCGATATTCAACACCGTATACTTCTCAATTTAATTTAATTTCCTTCCGCTTTTCCGGTTTTTTTTTCTTTGTTTTCTAATCATTCAAATAGTAGGCTGCTCGTACAGATTTAATTAATCAGAACTTTATTTATAAATCGATTTTACAAATATTTATAAATCGATTAAATTAAAATTCAATAATCTGAAATGAACGAATATATTTGCCAACAATTTCGGTTTATTCAAAAGTTTTCATTATTTTTTCTTCCTTATTAGAAAAGAAAAGAACAAAGCGAATAAAATAATTATTTTCCACTTTTGCATCCTACCTAAATACTTTTCTTCCTCTCTTTTTTTCGGTCTAAATTTTTCCAAAAATTCATTACATAAAATATTTTTGGCGATTTTTATTTATTAATTAATTAATCCATTTCGAGTTTCTTTAAACGGAAGAAAAATTATTTTTTGACTATTTTTATTGTTATTGTTATTTTATACAAATGTATATCAACGAGCAGCAAATTATTTGAATTAATTGAAAGCTTTTTTTTTTTAGTCACATCAAAATCTTTCACAAATACACACACTGCAATAAGAACTGCCTTATTATTTATTTTAAATTTCAATTCTTTTTTTTGCATTTGAAAATTTTAATTTTCATAAAATTAAAACATTTCGAAAATTTTGTCCATATGCCATTTATGAAAATTTTACTTTTTCCTTTTCTAATAATTTTCTTTCTCTCTCTTTCATCCCTTCTCTCTCCATTTTTCACCTTTATTGTTTTTATTTTACTTTCTTTTTTCTCTGATAATTTTATAATTATTAATGCTATGCAATATGGAAGTCGACATTATTTTTCCCCTCCTGTAACATCATTTTTCTTATCATCATAATTCATTATCATTATCATCATTATTATGATAAAATAACTACTAACTAGATATTATCTGTTGCTAAGTTTCTTTCTCCTTTCTTTTTTAATAAAAGTGAAGGACGGAGTGTTTGTTTCCTTTCTTTTTTTTTTTTCACCTTTCTTAATTTCTTCTAAATTACTTTTTCATCTTTTTCTTTTCTTTTGTCATTTATGTCATTGGCAACTTTTTTTTATCACGTAAAAATATTAAATTAATAAAATTTATCGTTACTGTTGGTGTTACTGTTGTTGTTGTTATTGTTATTGTTATTGTTACTGCTGTTTTATTGTCGGCAATAATGGTGATGGTGTTGAACATAATGGTAATGATAGTGGTGGTGGTGGTGTTATTGTTGTTGTTCTTGTTCTTACTATTAATACTACTACTGCTATTACTACTACTACTACTACTACTATTACTACTATTACTACTACCATTACCTTTGCTGCAGCAACAATTACTATAACTACTACTACTACTACTACTATTGCTACAACTACTGCTACTACTAGCACTATTGCTACTATTGCTTCTACCGCCGTCGTTTTTGTCATCGTTATGAACATTTCGTCGATATCACAAATATTCAATGCATGATTCGTATCAGGAAAGTGATATTTCTAAAATACAAAATACATTCACCTATACACACACATACATGTACGCCCACATACACACACACACACACACATGTATGTACACCCACACACACATACACACAGACACAAATGCGTATGAAACTTGTGATGCTAATATAATTTCGGGATAGCGTTTTTTTGGTCATTGGTCATTTATGTATTGTTAAAATTACATATGACATATTGGATATTGCGCTTCATAGAAAGACTAAAAGATTAAAACTTTTTTTTATTTTTTCAATCATTTGAAAAATTCACACATCCTCTGATAAATGGATATGATCGTATGTATGTCACCATACAAAACAGAAAAAAAAGCGCATTTTAATCCATGTACAAGATGATGAAATATTGTCAACCGATTTTGTCACCCTTTACTTTTTTTTTTTTTGTCAAATTTGATTTAACGCAAATAAATAATTAGGATAATTTGATCATTAGTTTAACATTTAAAAAAACCAATTTTTGCAACAGTTTTTTTGCTCCTGACTTATTTTAAAAATTTTTGATTTGATATATAAATATTGATTGGAAAATTCGATCAATTATTGATTTGATTGAAACAATAATTTGAATACAAATTACGATAATAGGAATAAGTGTCTTTCTTTGTGGTGCAATATCCTCACTCATCAATTATCATCACAGTATATCTTATCTAATTATAAAGATATATATCATCTATTAACATTAGTGCAAAAAAAAAAAAAAAAAAACTACTAAAATAATGAGATTTGAATTTTTTGAATTTCAATTAAATTTTGATTCTCTTTTCAAATATACCAAAAATATTTATGTAATGAATTAAATCATTGAAAACAAAAAAAAAAAAAAGTATACGATAGAAGAATATTTTTTAATTAATCGTTTTTTCTTATTTTTAAATTTTTGTAATTCAAACGGAAATTAAATTTATTTATTTTTGTAATTCAAACAAAATTAAATTTATTTATTTTTGTAATTCAAAC